TGCGGGGCTAGCCCAGTAGGGGGCGCTGGGGACACTGCAGTGGCAGTACGGGGATAGCTCAGTAGGGGACGCTGGAGGAGCTGCAGTGACAGTGCAGGGTTGGCCCAGCAGGGAGGGCGGGGCAGAGGTAGTGCCAGCAGTGATGAGAGGCAGTGTGTGCTCTCTCACTGTCTTAGTCGGACTGCAAGGTATGTCCATGCCTCCCTCAGCCGGGGCCCTGAGGGCGCTCCTCCCTGCTGTGCTGGGCGGGGCTGGGGCTGCCCCCTGAGAGATGCCCGCTCCTCCACCCCCACTGGAGGCAGGACAGCAAACCGCCCCCCAGAATAGGGCAAAGCACCGCCATGGGCTGGGGCCAGGACCCTCCAGCACAGACGGGACCCAGTGGCATCTCCCGGCCCTGGCCACCCACACTCACCCCCACACCTGCACCCTCAAGGCGAGCGGACTAGGCCTGGCCCCCAAAGGGACGGGCATGGGGGCTCACTCGTGGGTCCAGCCAGACTCCTGTCCCTGGGCCCAGGCATGGGTGCAGGCGTGGGCTGGAGACACCTGCCTGGAGGGACATTGGCCTCCCCATTGGGGGCTGCTGAGCAGAGCCCAGGCAGGGGGAGACGCGCAGATGGCAGCGTAGGTACCTGGGAGGGCAACCCGCCATGCCCATAGCTCCATCCCATGGGCATCCTGATGCAGTGCCCCCACTGGGAGCAGGGATAGGAGCAGGCTGGTTGGTGCTGCACGCATGGGTGTGGCCACAAGGTGGCAGTTCGGCTCCACCCATGCAGCTGCAGAGCGTGGGGAGGGCAGCAGGGTGCAAGGGGGCACAGGGGAGGACCTTGCCTACCCCTTGGATGGAGGGGTGCAGACTGGAGGGCACGGTGGCAGTATGGTGCTGCATTGCAGACAGACCCACACTGCATCCATGCCCTGCCGGCCTGATACCTTGCAGCCATGGCACCAGCAGCTATGAGGCTGTGCATGTCTCCTAGGGCGTCTGCCTTGGCCACACATAGGCTGGGGGCAGACTGGCCCGTGGAGGTAACCCCTGACTAGGGCCTGGGCACAGTGCTCCATGTCCTCATGGCTTGAGGTACCACCATGCACAGGGATGGTGCTCGAACGCGTATCCACCTGTCCGGGGCAGCAGTGCCACGCCAGTCCCAGCACGGGAGTGGAGCAGACGCCATGGGCACAGGCCTCCTGGCCAGCACAGCACTGTGATTGCATCAGCTCGGAGAGTCAACAGTCCCTGCAGCGGCACTTCTCTCCAGGCAGAGCGGCCTGTCCGCACCCCAGCTTTGATTTTGCCGGCCTGTCTTGCCAGGTGCTGAGTTTCCATCGCTTCCCAGCCCCTGCAGTATCTGGTCACCCCTGCCCTGGGGCCCTGCTCAGTCCAGACCTGTGGAGCAGGGCTGGGAGTGGGCAGAGCTGCTCCTTGGGGTACCTGGGGAATGCCATGTGGCCCCCAAGGTCCTGGGCAGGGGCTTGTGCTGGCCAAGGAATGCAAGGCCCTGAGCCTGGCGTTCTTGGTGCTGGCAGGGGTCACACCTTTGCCAGTCGTGCCCAGGTGCCAGGGCCAGATTCTGCTGCGGAGCTGGCCCACCCCCAGGTGCTGATTCACATGAGAGACCCAGGGGGTTCCTCAGGGGCTAGAGCCAGGGACTGCTGCTACGAGCTTCCATGCTGGCTGCTTCCTACTGCTCGCACTTTCCTGTTAGCCAGCACTGGCGAGTGGGGCCTCCAGGGCCCTAGGCAGTGCCCGGGGATGGAGCATGGCCAGAGGCAGCCGCTGGGGCTGGCACAAGCCGTGTCCCTGCTTCCTGGGCCGCTGCTGCTCTTGTCTAAAGCCTCAGCTGCCCCCATTGCCTAGAGCCCCAGCTCTGCTGCCCCTGCCCATGCCCCTACCCCTTCCTTGGCGCTGGCTGTGATGACGGGCCAGGGTGGCACTGGGCAGGTGTCTGCATGGCTGGGCTGGATGAAGGGTTCCAGGGAGCGGCCGGTCGCAGCCCCGCTGGGTGGGGCCTCTGCTACCTGCCCTCCCCCCACACCTTCTCCGCGGTGCTGCTATAAAGCAGCTGTCGCTCAGCCGCCACCAGTTCCTGATTCCCAGGTAGCGAGAGCCCTGCGGGCTAACGGGGAGGTGCAACCAGCCAGAGAGAAGCCCTGCAAGACCAGGACCAGCTTGCCGCCATGCAGGCCCCACTCCTACTGCTTGTGGCCATGGCTGCAGGTGAGGGGTAGCGTTGTGGGGAGCAGGGGGTTGTTGTGGGGAGCTGGGGGTTGTTGCTGGACCGGATCCAGCCTGGGGTTCTGGCTAGTGAGACTGGACTCATCACAGGCAGTTGGGCAGGGAGGGGTGGCAGATCAGGGTGGGTCTCTGTTTTGTCTGGAGCGATGAGCAACACCCCCTCACCCCCTGCCTAGATAGGGCTGGGCTCGGGGGTGTGGGTGTCCCCGTCCCAGCTCTCACCCCCCTGGCAGCAGGCAGCTTTGTCACTGCCCCCATCCACAGTGGAAGGCCCCATGAAACACAGGGTTCCCAAGTCTCAGGAAGAAGCAGAGCCCTGGACATTGGGCAGCCTTGGCACTTTTGGGGAGCCCCATGGCCTAGTGCTCGGGGTCTGCGTTCCCTGGGCCAGAGGCTCCTGGGGGCCCCGTTCCACTTGGTCCGTTCCTGGCTGTTGCAGGAGCAGGCGCTGGTGCTAGCAGCAGTGGTGGGAACTGCTGGTGCCATCACGATAAGGCTGGGCTGGGCAGAGCAGGGCTAGGGCCCACTGGGGGGTCCGGGGCCCTGCAGGGGCTCTCTCCAGCGGGCGCCTGCCCAGGAGGCCTCACCAAAGCCCTGGCTCATGTGCCCAAGGGCCAGGGCGGGAGTGGGGGCTGTACTGCTGGCAGGAAGTGCCCACTGCAGGACCGTGTGCACCATTGTAGGAACCTGACACACCCTCCCCAGATGCATGCATCAGCCCCAGGCTGTGGCCCAGCCACACCCCAGCACTCCCTGGGGCCATGGGGTTGGAGGACGTAGTTGTGTTTGGGGCGTCCAGTTGTGCAGCCCCAGCCGGATCCCTGTGTGCAGAGGCCCCAAGCTGGCCCAGGGAGGGGACCTGGCCCCAAGCTTCTGGGGGTCTAGCACGTGCCCTTCAGTCACTGCAGGGGCAGAGCTCACTGGGACAGGCCATAGCCGGGGCCCTGGGCCAGACTGGCAGAGCACTGGTCCCTGGGAGAATCACCTGCCTAGTGCATGTGCCCCACCAGAGCCTATCTCACCTGGGACCAGTGGTTCTGAGATGCCGCCTCCTCCCTCTGATGCTGGCATTACTTTGCCAGCCCCCACCTGGTCCGGGCTGTCCTGGCCTCATTCAGATCTAGTGGTAGCGAGTTCTCACCTGCTGCAGGATGGAGCTGCTCTGGGCGGAGGCTGGTGTCTGACCCTGCCGGGCACTTGTTTGCACTTGGCAGTGTCTTCCCTGGCTGATAGAGCAGCCTGTGCCTTCTGCCCTGAACTCCCTGCTCCCTCTCCTCACAGCTGCGGTTTCCACGGAGAGCACTCCCATCACTACCTCCACAACTTTGAGTGGCTCCC